GGGGGGTGGGATGGGTGTCGCGTTCTGCAGGGGCGATTGCGTGGGTTGCGCGGTACCTAAACATGCTACTGGAAATGGACCCACACTGTGAACAGAACTCAAGGCTATGCTTCTCTTCACCCAGGGGCAAAAGGCCAAAACACCACATGCTGTGACTCACCCTGTTCTAATGTCTGCCCTATTAGGCAGGGAATGGATGGGTGCTGAAGCAGGAGGGAGAGGTCAACTCTAATAATGCAAATAATACTCACAAGATAATATACACAAGCTTCCGTGTTTTCCATAAGCATTGTGTGTCAGTTATTGCTTAGATGTAAAAGCTTACATTTATAACCCTTTTAGATTTTTTAAGTTTTGCTTGCCTGAACTTTCAGCTCAAAGGAGAAACCTCTCAGGTTTCATTAAAAATCTATTAATTATTGTCATATGGAACAAAATTAGGGTAAATTTTGACAATATAAACTTTTACCCCTTTAATAAATTCTTCCAGGGGAAAAAAAATAATTGAAAATTTTTTTAGAAATTAAATTTTCAAAAGTGACTTGTTACAAAAAAAATATTTCAATTAAATGCTATTATTTTAAATTCATCAAAGAATCTTGAATAAAATGCATCATGACTTCCACAAAATATAAAGCAGCACAACTCTTTTCAACATTGATAACTATAAGAAAAGATTCTTGAACAGCAAATCACCATATCAGAATGATTTCTAAAGGATCACTGAAGACTCAAGTAATGGATGCTGAAAATTCAGCTTTACATAACACTAATAAATCACATTTGAAAATATATTCACATAGAAACAGCCCTCTACGAACACTACGCGAGCAATTGAATCGCCATTGGCTAGTAAATGTTTTAGTTTACTCGCCAATCATTTAGTCGCCCAGAGTGAAGATTTAGTCGCATATGCGAGTGATTTACTCGCAATGTAGAGGGCTGAGAAAACAGTTATTTTAAATTGGAATAATATTTTCACAATATTAGTGTTTTTACTATATTGTTGGAAAGAAAATAATTATTTTAAAAACATTAAAAAAAATCATACAGACTCCAAACTTTGGTATAGTAGAGTTTGTACATAAAGCAAGTGTGAGACATTTCAGCACAAGACATACTTGTCTTCATGTTCATAAATGTTGAGACCAAGAGCATCCACTCCCAGCCAGAGCTCTGTTCCCTTCTTATTTTTGATGTCAAAGTAGTTCACTCCATACATCTCCAGATCCTGAGCGATCTTCAGATACTCCATCAAAGAATCCTCTCTGTAAACACACAATCATGTTGGGAATAGAAATACTGCTATTAAGCATTGTGAAGTGCACTGTGTGTGTAGTTGGGGACTGAAAACACCAGTGCCCCAAGCATGCTCTTGTATTATAAGCTATTGTTATGTGTACTCTGCATTGTCTGTGCATGTGTTTCTGTGTCAAGCCTTACCTCAGCATACCCCTGTGTTCCTCGTGCCACGTCTGTATTCTGTCTTCCCACTGTTCTTTAGTCAGTTTATGTTGCTCCAAAACTCTACATGATAATATCCAATACACACACGATGAATCAGTCTGGCATCACTGTATGGGCTCAAAATGGCAAAATAATCATCAATATTGTGTAACAATATTATTACACTAACTCTCATGGAACACATAAAAAGCTGGAGACCTAAAAATTATGACTTGAAATTCCTGAAGGCAGGGGAAAACTTACAAAAGTGCTGTTTGCATTGGTTTCATTGAATGGGGTTAGATTTGTTTCGTATTTCAAGATGAATAGATTTAGATCCACAAATTAATGTAAAGAGATTTACAAAAATGTAATGTAAAGAGATTTACAAAAAGCAAACATTATATCAATAAATGTAATGTAAAGAGATTTACAAAAAGCAAACATTATATCAATATATCTTTGTATTTATTTTGGACGTATTTATTTGTGTTAAGCGCCATGCCTTTCAATATATAACACAATATTCATTTATCATTAATAGGGAAGGAAAGCACTCCACATGTTTGTTAGACCTTGAATAAGTGTTGAGTAAAACTGTTCACAACTGAACTCCACAGCATAAGCTACCTTTTAATTTAACGCCACATGAAATTAATTTTTTCCCCCTAATTTCTGTTTTCAATTTAAGTTTTTCTGGATTCTGTGTGATTTAATACAAATCTATTATCAAAATGGTGTATAATGAAAGGAATTAGTAAAACTTTAATAATTTAATCAATCTTTTCAAATGTAATCGAATTAAAATATAATTCATTTACAACAATGCATTGCATTTATATTTTGTTAAATCAGATGCTGCACAACAGAACTGTATTAATACATGGATAAAAATAATCTTGGTTGTATGACATTTCTTAAAAATAATATAATTACTTCAAGAATTACATTTTAGTACACAATAGTGATATATTTCTGTCATTAGTTAAACAGAACTTTTATTTTGATGGTTTGTCATGAAGATCTTTCAATTTCAGTTTGTATTTTTGACGGTAGTGTTTCTCAAATGAAACTGAAAAGCTTGTGAAGTTTTGATGATGATTATTAGCGACAGGCACTAATTGCATTTTGTCACATTATTTCATATTGAGTAAAAATGTCCAGAGCTTATCATCATTATCGACACAAATTTGATTGCGATTTTGATATGTTATTGTTTATTACCCAGCCCTACCCCATACACATTGGTTTATGCTTTAAAAGTGAAGAACATAGAGAAGCAACTTCATAAAAAGAGTTTAAGAGCATGCAAAGGATCTTCGAGAAGCCTCTTTAAAGCATTTTTGCTAAAAATATTAAAGCCAAAACAAATAAAAAAAAAGCTGCAGAAACTAGTCAACCTCACTAATGAAATAGTCGAGTATCTTGATCAATCCTTATCACATACCAGCCGTCTGTAAGTCACAGTGCTTTGCAAGGTGATTCAACAAGAGGCCATTAAAGGCTTGCCAAGGCCCAGGGACATTTAATTATAGCATGCAATGACGCATGGGGTTCTGTTTTACCCTGTGTACTGAAACATTACGAGTATCCAGGGATGGGCAGTATTTCAGATACATGTATTTAAAATACATATTTGAAATACAAAATACTATTTTGTATCCTGTATTTGAAAGCCTTTGGAAAAAAATCTAATGTATTTTGTATTTAAATAAAATTTAAGATGAGTATTTTTGTATTTTCAAAATACATAAAATACTTTGTGCCAGTCAACCTCTTTATCAGTGTGCTGATTTCGTTCATCAACTAGTTCAGACACGCACCCTCTCCCCAACATTCATCACGTGAGCTGCAGCTGTACAGCTCCATCCAGCATTGGGTGAGCGACTTTTCTGGAATACGATAAGATAAGGTGAGGATATCATGGTCAACTGTACTTGTTAATTAAAGTTAAAATAGTGCATCATTCAGATTTGCCTTCAGTTAAAATGAAAGAAGAAAACATGAAGCACCGAATAGTGTAAGCCAATCAGTTTTGATAGTTAGGCTACTAGCTTGTCAAATGTGTTTAAAGCATTACTGCATGTTAGGCCTGGGTGAACAATACATATCGTGGCGATGATATAAAGTGTGAATCGACGGAAATTTTTCTAAATCGTTTACATAGTTTAGTGGGCAGGAATTATTGGAACGGTGGAATGGAAAAAGAAGCATGAATGAATGAGCAATAGAATGTGATGTGCTTTGTGTAGAGTGGAACGCCAACAAGCAGGCCTACACTTTTGACTTAAAGGCTCTTTCACACAGGACGCAGGAAGCGGTGGAATCACCGTGCAGCTCCCGATTTCTGTCGTAGTGAAAGCATTTTGTGCAGTTGAAGCCTTGTTTATACTTTCGCCTGTCTCTACGCCACGAACCTGTTGACTGCCCGCTCCTCCCTAAACGGAGACGGCTTTTATACTTGATGCGCTCGCCGTTGTATAATTCTGTGAAATGACAGGGGGCGACTCTGAGTAATTGTTCTCCAAACCATTAGAAAGCAGCAGTGGGAGGAAGTAGTTTGCTGAGTAGTTTGTCAAATCGTTTCATGAGAAGTTTGTGAATAAATTGATTTTTTCACATATAAACTGATTAGGTTGTGGGTAATTTTGGAGGACACATGGGAAAATGTTTTTGAGTACACTTCTTAAATCCACACAAAAGAATTCAAAGAATCGTGTAAAATGCAGTAAAGGTGAGATTATGATTTGTGACAATAGAACAGACCATATAAATTTGATAACATATGTATAACACTAAATTAAATAATGCTTTCTTGTACGTTTTTTTAAATTCATTAAACATTTTCTTTTAATTAATGTTTGTATTTAACATGGACCATTACTTTATTCATTATTTCTGATATTGCAGGCTCATTTTGTAAATGTAAGCATTTTAAATTTTAGACAAGTGCAAACTTGGTGCTTAATGAAATATTTGTCACATTTACAAAATCAGGTGATTGTGTTCACCCATCTATGCAAATGTATGTTTATAGAGACAAAATAATTAGGTTAATCACTGTGACAATACATATCATGGCGATGACATAAAGAGTGAATCGACTGAACTTTTTCTAAATTGTTTACATAGATAGGCCTATTGGGGTAAGCGAATATATCCGTGCAGCTTTTAGTGGGCAGGAATTATTGGAACGTTGGAGTGGAAAAAGATGCATGAATGAATGAGCAATAGAAAGTGATGTGCTTGGTGCCGAGTGGAACGTTGACAAGTAGGCCTACACTTTTGACTTAAAAGGCCCTGTCACACGGGACGCGGCAAGCGGTGGAATCACCGCGCAGCTCCCGATTTCTGTCGTAGTGGAAGCGTTTTGTGCAGTTGAAGCCTTGTTTATACTTTCGACTGGCTCTACTCCACGAACCTGCTGACTGCCCGCTCCTCCCTAAATGGACGAGGCTTTTATACTTGATGCGCTCGCCGTTGTATAATTCTGTGAAATGACAGAGGGCGACACAGAGTAATTGTTCTCCAAACCATCAGAAAGCAGCAGTGGGAGGAAGTAGTTTGCCGAGTAGTTTGTCAAACAGTCGGTTCGTGAGAAGTTTGTGAATAAATTGATTTTTTCACATATAAACTGATTAGGTTGTGGGTAATTTTGGAGGACACATGTGAAAATGTTTTTGAGTACACTTCTTAAACCCACACAAAAGAATTCAAAGAATCGTGTAAAATGCAGTAAACTTGAGATTATGATTTGTGACATTAGAACAAACCATATGAATATGATAACATATGTATAACACTAAATTAAATAATGCTTTCTTATATGTTTTTTTTAATTCATTAAACATTTTCTTTTAATTAATGTTTGTATTTAACATGGACCATTACTTTCTTTATTCATTCTGATATTGCAGGCTCATTTTGTAAATGTAAGCATTTTAAATTTTAGACAAGTGCAAACTTGGTGCTTAATGAAATATTTGTCACATTTACAAAATCAGGTGATTGTGTTCACCCATCTATGCAAATGTATGTTTATAGAGACAAAATAATTAGGTTAATCACTGTCTGTCATCAACAATTTAATTTGTGAAGACACTGATGAATGGTTCACCAAAAAAAAATAATAATAATCTTAAATGCTTACAGCGTGGAGACGTGCTGATATCGCGTTTGGTCTCGTTCTGTATCGCGAATATTAACAATATTTTGAATTGTTTTTAGTTTTATTTTTTGTTTTTCATTTAAATGTTAAGTTTTGAAATTATGTTGTATGCATTTGTCATTTTTATTTAATTTCTTTATTTTTAAAATGTGTATAAGCAGGCAGTATA